CCTTCCGTTTATTGAGCACCTACTGTGTGTCTGGCTTCAGGGACCTAAGGTTGAAATTTATACTCTGATGGGAGGGTAGGCATTGAACAGCCAAGGTCAGGGTGTTTATGCAACAAAGAAAGGACCTCAATTGACCCCAGCCACCCCCACCGACGCTCCTGCTCACCCATCCGTAGACTAGCTCAGGGCGCAGGACCCTGTCGGGGGCTACACCTTCTGGGGCGCGGCAGAAGCTGTTCTGGGAAGGTGGCGTGGTGACAGCAGGGTGGCCGTCGGGTCCCTGCCCTGGGTGCGCCCGCTGGACTCGGGGATGTGTGGAAGTGGCCCGGGGAGGAAGTTATTTGGGGAGCAGGATTGACGTCATAACTGGACTTGGGGTTCAGGCAGCCACTCCTTCTGGGCCACCGGGTCAGGATGTCCCCCAGCAGACCCAGCCAGGCCCGGAGAGCGGCGCTGGACGGTGGGCTGCGCTCTGCCTCAGTTTCCCGGTCGGTGGAAGGGCCTGCAGCTCCAGGTCTTGGCGTGCTCGGGGACGGCGGGTGGGGGCAGCGCGGGGTCCCCGGAGCGCTCTGTACCCATCCCCGTGTTCCCCCAACCTCGCGCTGGCCGCTCAGTGCTGCCCTCTGGTGGCCGCCGCTCGCGCGTCCCCGGCTGCGCCAGCTTGCCCGTGCCAGGGGTGTCTCGGCTTCCCTCGCCTTTGCCTCCCTTGGCTCGAGAGGCGCGGCACCAGCACCCAGGGCCTCCCCCGGAGCTACTGGCTTCTCTACGGCCCCTGCACGGCGCGGTCCCCACAGTGGGGTGATGATCCATCATTGGCTCCTCTGGTGGTGGGGAAAGAGGGAGGTGGAAAGAGGGAGGACTCTGGACTCATTCATTCCTTTGTTTATTCATTGGATCATTAGTTCAGGCAAGTATGTGGAGGATGGGGAGCACATTGGTGCCCAGTAATTTTAGAAATAGGGAGGGTACCCTGCAGCGTGGAGGAATCTGAATCAGCGACGCTTGAGAAAAACGGTCATTAAGCGGTGGAAAGTCTGTCTCTGTCTCTCTCTTGGTCTTTTTGAGACAGGGTCTCTCTGTAGCCCCAGCTGGCCTGGAACTCCCTATGTATACCAGGCTGGCCTCGAACCCACATTGTTCTGCCAGCCTCTGCACGCCCCCCCCCCCGTGCTGGGACTGAGTTGCTAAGGCCATGTTCCTGTCCCCTTTCTCCGCGTTCCTTGTCTCTCCTATTCTAAAAGCAGTACCTCTGTGAATAACTCAGCCTTCAAGTCAGGGGAGCAACAGAAGTGAGGATGTGGGTCCAGAGAAAGCTAGACTCTCGGGAGGCCATGCTCGTTGCTCCCATGAACAGAGAGCCAGCCCCTGGCTGCACCTGCTACACCAGAGACTAAGAACAGACAGCAGGGTGGGGCAGCCAGCAATAGCTGAAAGCTAGGCACTTCCACAGACTGACCATCGTCCCATTGAAATGAAGGATTCCAATAAAATCCTAACATTTGGAGATCTCTAGAACATTTTTTTCCTTTTCTTTAAAAATTTTTTATTACAAGTATCGTGTATGTGTACGTGTGTGTGTGTGTGTGTGTGTGTGTGTGTGTGTGTATGAGTGAGTGTGTGTGTATGTGGAGGACAGAGAACAACTTGCAAGAGTCAGTTCTCTCCTTCCACCATGTGAGTCCCAGGGATGAAACTCAGGTTGTCAGGTTTGGTGGCAATCACCTTTATCCATTCTTCGGTCCTCTGGAGTATTTTCTAAGGCTAGAAGTTACTGTAGCTATCACAAAAGAAAAGAGCCATGATTGACAAGATAAAAACACAAACAACATTGGTTACAGATAGAAAAGGAAACAATAGGAAAAATAAATTATAGGAAATATGACCAGATAATGACACCATTATTGCCCAAAGTGCTCAAAGAAATTGGTCAGAAAAACACTGACTCCTAAAGGTGAAATGGGTGAAGGACAGTTTCCACTGAAGAGGAAACTAATTTGGCTAATAGACTTGCTGGGAAATGCTCAGCCTCACTAATTAAATGAATGCAAATCCCAGCTGTGCTAGGAGATGCTGGTTGTCCCTTGCCAGGTTGGCGCAGCCTGGAGGAATGCTATTAGGCAAGACCACAGGGAAGTGGGTCAGTCAGTGGGCATGGAACTGGCCCTTTTGCCAGCATGTGCTCAGTGACTTTTTTTTTTTTTTTCTTGAGACAGTCTTTCTCTGTAGCTTAAGCTAACCTTGAGATGCTATAAACCAGCCAGGGGTGGTGACACCTGCCTATAATCCCAAGGATCAGGAGGCTGAGACAGGAGGATAGAAAAGTTCAAGGTTATCCTGGGCTACTTAGTGAGACCCTCCCTGATTCAAGCACAACAAATCTAAACAAAAAAATCTGTTGGGCAATGATAAATATAACCTCTGAATTAGATTTATAAAAATGACATTTTGGCCAGGCATGGTGGTGCATGCCTTTTATCCCAGCACTTGGAAGGCAGAGGCAGGCAGAGCTCTGTGAGTTCAAGACCAGCCTGGTCTACACAGTAATTTCCAGGTCAGCCAGGGCTGCATAGTGAGACCCTGTCTCAAAAAACAAAACAAAACAAAACAAAACAAAAACCCACAAAACGATATTTTCATGAAGATCAAGTAAATACCTCAGTAAGATTGAGGTCAGCCTAGTCTACATAGTGAGTTCCAGGCCAGCTATAGCTACAGGAAGACCCTGTCTCAAAAAGGTACCCCCCCAAAAAAGACAAAAGTAAACAAAACAAAACCAGAAAACAAAAACAACCAAAAAAGGAAAACAAAGATCTATAGTAAGTTTAACTAGAAGTTTTTTTAGATTTTATTTTTTTTATTTATTTTTGTATTTTTGAGACAGGGTCTCCCTGTAGCCCCAGCTGTCCTGGAACTCACTATGTAGACTGGGCTGGCCTCGGACTCACAGAGATCCACTTGCCTCTGCCTCCCAAGTGCTGGGATAAAATGTGTATGCCACCACACCTGGCCTAGATTTATTTTATTTTTATGTCTACGTGAATTTATGCCACATGTGTGCAGGTGCTCAAGGAGGTCAGAAGAGGATTTTGGATCCCCTGGAATTGGAGTTACAGGCAGTTACACCTGATGTAGGTGCTGGGAACTGAACTTGAGTCCTCTGGAAGAGTAGCAAGGGCTCTTAACCACTGAGCCATCACCCCAGCCACTATAAAAAAGCTTTATTTCCTTCCTTCCTTTTCCCCTCCCTCCTTTCTTCCCTCCCTCCCTCCCTCCCTCCCTTATTTCTTTCCTTTTCCTCTTCCTTCTCCAGACCGTCTTTGAAACAGGTCTTAGTACATAGCCCTGGCTGGTATTCACTATGTAGTGTCAAGGCTGACCTCAAAGTCACTGCAATCCTCCTGCTTGAGCCTCCTAAATACTGGGATTACAGATGTGCATTGCCATACCTGGTTAAAAAGTTATAAATTTTAGCTAAGCATGGTGGTGTATGCCTTTAATCCCAGCACTCAGGAGGCAGAGGCAGGCAGATCTCTGTGAGTTCAAAGCCAGCCTGGTCTACGTAACAAGTTCCAGGCCAGCTGGGGCTACAGGAAGACCCTGTCTCCCCACCCTATACACACACAAAAATAGTATTGCAAATCCTTTATCACCTTACATGTTAATAAGGATCGCACCCAGAAGGAAAGGCTGTGTCCAGTGGTTCTGAAGTCATGTAGCTCTCTTTCAAGAGCAGGTGACAGGAAGCCAACCTAGACTCAGGGACTTCCTGTGTTGCTCCAGTTAAAGAGTTTCAGGGAGCTGGAGAGATGGCTCAGCGGTTAAGAGCACTGACTGCTCTTGCAGAGAACCCAGGTTTGATTCCCAGCACCCACATGGCAGCTATGAACCGTCCTTAACTCCAGTTCCTGGGGAATCTGACACCCTCTTCTGAGCTCCGTGGCATTGCGCAACACGGGTGGACTCACATACATGCAGTCAATACACTCATACACATAAAATAAAAATAATAAAAAAATTTTTAAATAGAGCTGCAGGGTACACTGGCACTGACCACCTCTCCTTCCCCAGATTTGCTACCTGTCTCTGGAGTGTCTGCAAGCTCTGTACTCTGAGATGGCTCCCTGACCCAGGACCAGGACTGTGGCTGCCAGCTGGTGTCTCCTCCTTGAGGAATTCCAGTTAGAAGACCAAAGCTCCTCACCCTGTTGGTACAGACAAGTCCAGGGCAAGACATTATTGGCTCAGCTTCACTTCTGCCTTGTGATTGGCCCACATGGCCACAGGACAGGATTTTATTTTTTAATTTTTTATGTGTATGAGTGTATTGCCTGGATGTATGTGAGTGTACCCAAGTTGTGCAATGCTGAGGAGGTCAGAAGAGGGCTTCAGATTCCCATGGAACTGGAGTTAAGGATAGTTCGTAGCTGCCATGTGGGTGCTGGGAATTGAACCCGGGTCCTCTGCAAGAGCAGTCAGTGCTCTTAACCACTGAGCCATCTTTC